AATTAATAATAATAAACCATAGCTTGTTATATCAAATACTGTTCTAATTTGATTAAACATACCACACAAGGTAGTTTTTCAAGCTCAGTTTGTAAATTAACCGTGAAAGAAAACCACTCAGTTGAGCTAAACATCTGTTCCTCAGTTGTGAAGGTTGTATCCATTATATGGAGTCATATATAAATCCATTAACTCTTCCAGAAACATAGACCATGTAGACCAGGAATGTATTGTGCAATAATGCATTAAAAGACAATGCAAGTGGGCATTTCTTATAGTACAGTTTGATGCAAAAATAAAGGTTAACTCTCTTGGTTCCTTTGGAGGAAAATATGTTTGCACTTTAACACCTTTTCATTTTTGTAGAGTGTTAAACAGACTTTAAATTTTAAAGACTGATAAATAATGTAGGTATCTCAGAGTTGCTCTCTGTGGCAAATACATAACATTGATGTGTGTCTTACAGAATGAGCTTTGAGGGCTGGAAACAGACGACATGCCTGCATTGAGCATATGATTCATTACCTGAAGCGCTCTGAGCTCTTTTTTTCAGGGTAGTCTTTATCTTGTATCCTCCATCTCGGGTGTGTGGTGTGGGATGTACAGTATGAGTAAAGCAATACTGCAATGATTAATTAAAATAATAAATTAAGCAGATCATTTTAAGCTTGGTGATTGGGTGAAGCAAAGCTGTCGTACCCTCTGGATTTCATGGTCAAAAACATCAACTTAGATCAAAGACGTAACAGCTGAAAATGCTCTGAAGCTGTGTATGTTGTAATTTTTCAAACAAATGCATCATTTACTCTCACAAGGGGTGCTGACAGCAGCACATATTGTGGAGCTTAGGCTTTGTTTAAACCAGCTGTGTGAGTGTTCCCAAAAAATATTAATCTGTCCTCCTTGGTTTAACTTTTACTTTTGATCACTGCATCTGAGCAAGGTTTGCAAGTCAAAACCTTTGCACATAACTATGTGTGTGTGTGTGTGTGTGTGTGTGTGTGTGTGTGTGTGTGTGTGTGTGTGTGTGTGTGTGTGTGTGTGTGTGTGTGTGTGTGTGTGTGTGCGTGCGTGCGTGCGTGCGTGCGTGCGTGCGTGCGTGCGTGCGTGCGTGCGTGCGTGCGTGCGTGTGTGTGTGTGTCCTATAGTGATCCCGTTTCCAGTCCCATTGAAAGTAGGCCAGCCAGTTGGTCCATGAGTCAGCCTTTTCTCCTGAGAAAGGAGACTCCCTGACATGACAGCATTTTGAACAGCTGACCGACACACCCGACCTAGCGGACACTCCACACACACATTAATTTACACACAAGGTATCAAATATACAGTAAATGGATACACAAACACTTACAGCACACAATACACATTGTCCTCTTACTGCGAATACATTACACACCCAAAGTCCGCTCTTAGCAGTATATTGTGATGGATACTGTAACCGTTTTGTTTCCCCGGGTGTACACATTTTGTGCTGAGGTCACTGACTCTCAGTCAAACCCAGATTAATGCTGACATGAATTGTGTTGAACTCAGTGATCCTGAACATATTTTAGCTCTTGTGTGATTGGATTATTTGTAGTGGTGGGAGGAGTACTCAGATGAGGTGTGGAGCCTCAATCCTTCGTAGCTCTGTATTGTGCTACCTTCCAAGCCCGCCCACATTTCTGTGGTCTCATCAAATCGGATTATTTGATTAGAAATCCCTTTTACTGTAAACTGCTCAAAGATTCCTATTCGCTGGGGAATACATCTAAGTAAGGAAGTTGAAGATGCTCTAACTTTTTACTGGGACTTGTAATACAACCCAAGACACAGGGACATTGCATTTTTATGAATACAATGTCGCTGAAACCAGCTCGTCAAGCATTTTACATTGTTCAATGAATATTTAAAATGTATTCACACTCTATTTTGCCATTGTGTGAATATGATTGGGTTGAGCTGACTAACACTGAGGACAAGGGGCCTCTGTTTTTGCCAAACTGTAACCCTTGCAGACCGCCTATAGGCTGGGCTGGATGTACTATTCCTAAACTAGATCCAGATATACCCTAAACCTCTAAATGTCGAAAGTGATTTCAAGGGGATTCTCTTTTGTATTGTTTTTTAATCAACAATACATTGATAAACCAGTTAATATGTATGCATACACAGTCTGTTTCTCCTAAATATGTGGGCTGGTTAATCTTCTTGAGTATTTTATTTTACCTACAAAAATAGATCTTTAATGTCACTGAACTCAAATGAAGTATTTGTAACAAGATAAGCTGCTAATGGGCTCATGCACTAGTGTAAACACAGCCTGCTGTGAGAGGATACCACTCCTTGACGTATGTGCTACCAGATGTGTTTTGAGTGTATGTTGCTGATATATAGGGTTTGTTATGAGTCTTTCTTTGCCTTTTCATCTTAAAACATTTTTCAGCTGCTCAAGTAGTATAACTGTGAGCTCTGTTCGTCACTCAGTGTGTGTCTGTGTGTGTGGGGGGGAGACATATCTTGCCTGTACAGTATATTACTTGTCTTGAGTTTAGACACAAATATATTTGTCTGTGTACTTAATGTGCGCACATGTGGCTCATGTGGCATCTTGACTTGGTCACCATCTGTGCTCCTATTAAGTCACGTCTATGAAATATATGACAACAGCTGACTGATGCGTCAGTTACGCCATCGAAGTCGAGATCCAAATAATTGCTACACAGTATACCTCCTCCCACACACTCCAGTTTAATATATTCTTTCCCATCTGCTCATTACTGCACAGGGTGATCTTAAGAAATGTGCCTCTACAGGAAACAATCATCCCGCTGTTTTGATAAATAGGGGGAAATGAGTCATAAAGGTGAACCTATATTAAGGTGTGATATTGGTAAAGGTGGTAAATAGAGTGAAATATGTTTGAAAAACGTTCTGTTTTAACATTACGATAGTTAGAGCTGATGTATTAAGAGTTTATGTAATGTAAGAAATAGACCATTTATGCATGTGAAACTGTAGGGTGAAGTCAGAGCAATGCTTTTCCTAAGGGCTCTCCCATGCAGGAATAATTTTCCAATTATTTCCAGTTATATAATCATTATTACTGTGAAATGAAATGGTTCAGAACCTTTTCATATCATTAATATTTCTGTTGGAGAAGCAACATGTAAAAAAAAGAATAATACATTGGAAACACATTTGTGATGGGCGAACCTAATGAGGCATCAAAACAAAATGTCTTTTTCAATCCAAAGTGTATTGTTGTTTGAAAGCAACATTAAATACATGAGAGTAATGGATCCTTCTGAGGCCTCTCAGTGGGTGGTGGAATACTTGCACAGTACAAACTACATTGAACTTGACTAATGCAATGATTTCGTAACTGATGATAACTTTAGATAATCTTTGGCAGAGTGCATTTTGAAATACATCTTCTCCCTAAATGCATGTGATAGACTACAAAGTATAATCTAGTGACTTTCAAGAAAAAGGCCTCCGGTACTGTAAAAGAAGTTGCACTGCCTGTTTCCTATTTAAACACAAAGAAAAATCAGCGCACTCCAAACCAGATGACTAGCTGTTGTCTGTCTTCTCACTCGGATGAAAACATGAAAGCTGGATGGACCGTGACATGTGTCCCGTTGATATGCCAGATAGCTGGCATGACTAAACTGTGATGACAACATTGACGTGAGGCAAAATGTGAGCAGATGTTGCAGCAGTGTGTGTTTTTTATTACAAAGTATACAGTTGAGTTTCCAGGTAGAGTGGGTGATGTATTAATAATGTCTCCGAAGCCTGTGGCTAGTTCAAATGCATTATAACATTAATAACCATAAATGATGGTATAACCATTAATTCTGACAGTGACTACTGCTGGATTGTAGATCATTAGAGTAAATGAAAAAGTTTGATCATCAGCAGGAATTATAGTTGATTTACTATCAGATTACAATGAAACTGAGGGCATTATGTATATGTTCACGGTTTTTAATGGCCATGACTGACTGGCATCTAATCCAAACCGGCCATTTAACCCATTCTGCAATCTCTTCATGTCAATGGCTGAAGTGAAAGTGCCAATGTGATGCTCCATATTAGTTTGTTACACGATTGTCAGTTTGCACAAAAGAGGATAGATAATAATTCATTTGCAAAAGGGATTGCAGACATGAAAAATTCAATTAGTGTCCCACAATGAATGGACATTCTCCAACAAAGGACATCATTCAAAACATAAAAAGCATTCACAGAAAACAATTGTCCTCGTGGAGCACAAAACAAAACTCTAATGTTGCTCCCCTGCACTATTTTCCCAAATATTATTTACAAAATAAAACTAAACTGCCCAAATTTCAGGGCCAGTGAAATTATGTTAATAAGAATCACTTTTGATCTGTGAGCGACTTCACATCAATATACTCTACACAATGTTTAGTTTGTTTGTTTGTTTTTGTGTTTTACATTTCAATAATTCAATAACAAATGTTCTCAAGATATGACTTGTGACATCAGCAGGTTAAGACTGATTTTTATACGTGGTTTTGCTAAATCAGCCAAGATACTGATCTTTGCCTCACAAGGCCAGAATGTTCCTGGCAGGTTCACACTCCAAACACGAATATACACAATATGGAAATGTTTACACTTTTAAGTAATTCTATGATCATTCTGCAGTTCAGTCTAGAAAATATTTAGTCATTAATCCTTGAAGCGGCATTTACACCAGCTATTTGGGATGACTTTGACAGTTCCAGAGCAATATATATGGGTCACGTCCAACATTGCACTATATGATTAACTATAGCTGTAGTGCTCATACATATAATGTCTGATCATTGTTCGTATTTAGTGGAGTCAGAATAAACACTATTAAGAGCACTTGGCAGGGGCTAACGCAGGGGAGTCGCCCTGAAGCCTGCTGTTAGTTTATTACATTTCCCAGGGAGAGCAATATGATGTCATCAACATGTGTCCCATCTATAGTTAAGACCCCATATCCTGGTTGGACAGCTGAGCCGGGGATAAGGAGTTTCTGTTCTCATAATATACTCAAGGAAAAGCTTCCTTTCTTGCTCTTGTACCAACACTAGTTGTTTACTTTTCTGACTCTGACTCTCCCCACACTCACTCAGGCACACACTCTGTATCTGTTTCGTTTTTCTGAATAAATCTTAGTTTTAACTGTTGCCATTTCATGAAGTCGACTTTCAGTTATTTTTTCAGTTTTATTTATAAAATGAAGCTGTTCAAAAATATAGCAAGCAGTCATTCATTGGTAACTATTGACATACATAATGATATTTAATAATTTCTCCCTTTATGACAAAGCACATCTTACAACAGAGACTTTACAAGACAAATAATTTAAGGACAAAATGAAAAGAAAACATAAAAGAAAAGAGGAAACATGATAACTATGAGCTGCTGTCTTTGTGCTCAAGCTTAGGGAAGGATCTTAAACCACACATGCATTTATACAATCTTTAATATCAAAATAATCACAAAGATAACTCTCCAAAGAACTGACTATTGTGCATTGTACCGTATCTCTTTCTGCCCCATTAATGCTGTGAGAATGTGAGATGTTCTCAATGGTGGTAAAATAATATTGGCAAGGTTTAAAATCCATAATATAACAAGGAGAGTTAATAGGTTCAAGAAATCATGAATAAACTGGTTGGATCACAACGCTTGAGCCATCATCATGTCTTCTACACATTCACTGTAACGGTAAGGCAGTAAAATACAAACAAGGCTGCCAATTTAAGTTACTGTTCGCTACATATGCACCACAACAAAATACAACCTTTTTATGTACGTTATAAATTAGAAAATGTAGTTAAAAGGTCAATATCAAGTTGAAATTTAAATAGTGTTGATGGCGTCCCATTTCGCAAGTATATAAAAACATCTTATATTTTATAAATATACACCAAAATCAAACATGATTATTTGATATGACATCACGTCGAATATTAATGTGCCTTTTGACATTTGTGAAGGACAGGAAAAAGTCTTTCTTGTCCTTATTCTGTGTTTTATCTACAATATTTAGTGATACAGTCATTACAAATACTGTATGCTATACTGTAGTTCACTTTTAGTGGATGAATGTGTAAAGTAATGAAACAAAGCAATCAGGCCAAGGAAAGCTTGCTTGTCTTTCAGCAATACTCAAATGTGACACATCTTTGCACTGAAACAGTCCACAGGTGCTGTATGATGTATGATGTATGATGCTGTATCAGCAAAGAATCCTTCAACTCCTGATATTTCAAACAAAAATGTATTGAAATCAAAGGCATACAAATACATAAATGAGACATAATGTATATTAGTATTGTCTTTTCGGAGATTCAACAGTATCTCCTGCATAAAGCCTTGCAGTTCCTTTGGGCATGTGGGAAACATAAAATGTTATAAGCAGAGGAGTTCATCCACCAGTACAGTAGACTGTCTCCGTCGTTCTGCTGATTGTCTATTTGTGTGTGTGTTTATTTCACCCTGTTATATAACATGTAGGTAGGTTGCCTTGGTGTCCACTCCTATTACATTTTTGGCGGTGCATCTGTAAAATCCTGTATCCCTACTTGTCGGGTTTTGTATCACCAAGGAACCTTGAGGACTAAGGTAGCGGTTGCCATAGATACGAGCCTGACTCATGACCCTCAGCTGTGTCAGGTCTGGTGTTTCCCAGGTTACGGTCGCCCGGGGTGTCGCTATTGTCCTACACGGCAGCTCCACAGCCACCCCGGGTCGTGTGTAGGTCACCGGGGAGGGGCCTGTTGTGATGCGTGGCGGGTAAGCGATGACGATGACAGGAACCGTGATGACTGAAACTGAGTTGCCACTGGTAGATCTGCAGCTGAAGGTGCCGCGGTCGTACACGGAGGCCTGCTGCACTGTCAGAATTCCATCTTCTTGGACTTTGTATCGGCCTGAGTCATCACTTTCACCCCGGGTCAGTACTTTTCCATTTGGCATGGTCCATGAGAGAGAGACCTGGGTATATCCATGGGTTTGAGGAGCAGGACAAGGCAGGCGGAGGTTCTCTCCATTAACGATGCTCACTAAGGGAGCTGTTCTGGTGCTCACTGCTGGCTCTGACACAGGGCTCGAGGAACGGGGTGGAGGGCCGACAGGACGAGGTATGGCAGGCAAAGACTGGCCTCTGTGTAGAGGCTTTTGAGTAACTTGGATTTTTGGATGAAGTGCCTCAGGCAACACTGGCCTTGAGCTCAAGGATTTAGCTGAATCTAATGAGGCTCCCGGGCGTGGCGCCTCTATTACAACAACACGTCCCATCACAGGCCTTTCATCTGCCCGTCCCCTGTGTGAAAGTCTGGCCTCCTTTTGTGGCTCAGAGACTTCCAGCTCCACCTGTATCGTCGTCTGTCCTCTCTCATTTCTGACCACACAAAATAAGGTCCCAGAATCGCTCGCACGCACTCCTCGCAGCTCCAAAGAGCCGTTTCGGTGCACAGTGAGTCTGCTGCCATAGTAAGGAGCTGGCAACACACCATTACCAGGCAGAAGCCAGGCCACACGAGGGGGAGGGGAGCCTTGGGAGAGGCATGGCAAAACCACAGTTTGGCCTTTCACAGCTCGCTGTTTGACTGTAGTTACCACACCCACAACAGTGTTACTATAGTTTTTAGTACCAGCAGCTATAACAGCATTACTGCTACTTCTGCTAAACACATTTCCACTGAGTGAGCCAGTCCCAGCTCCTGTATTAGACACACTTATCCTGCCATTTTCTCTACTGGTGTAAGCGCCATTACCAGCCTTTCCTGCATTTACTTCATTCGTATTAGTCCCAGGATTCCTTTCTACATTATCTGATCCAACTGTGTTGTGACTGCTACTCAGGCTATTACTATTACTCATAATGCCGGGTCCATTTTGATTTGTTCCAATGTTATCCGCTTTAATGCCTGTATTTCCAGCCCCACTCACTCCAACACTGATATCACTTCTTCCTAGTTGTGTGGTGATTCCACTGACAGGTCTGTTCAATCCATCTTGACTATCACTCCTAAGGGCAGGATAAAAGCCACTGGTCGCTATGTTAGTGCCATCCTTTGGTGCAATGTTTTTTGTCCTGCCATCATTAGCACTATAGGCATTATTTCTGCTGTCACTGCTGCCAAGCTGGCCTGTGTCTGCATTGGTAAATCCATCTTGACGTATCCTTGCATTATTAGTGCTTTCCCCTGATCTACTGCCATGACCACTATCAGGCTGATAGCTTGTACTCCAACCTCTTCCTCCCACCCGGCCACTCTGTCCATGGTTAGCAGCCTCCACCTCCAGGCCCACCAGCATGCTCCTCTCCCCGGCTGAGTTGCTAGCTCGGCAGGTATAGGTTCCCGTGTCGATCTTTTGAGCCAGACGCACCTCTAAAATTCCACCCGAAACCACCACAACCCTCTCGGAATAAAAGCCAGATCCCAAACTTTTTGGGATGACAAGGCGGGTCGGGGAAAACCATGTGACCGTCGGGGCAGGAACTCCAGTGGCCTGGCAGGGAATTGTGGCTGTTGCCCCTTCACGTACGTTGACCACGTGGTGTCTTCTGTCATCAGTAAAGGTTGGTAGAGATGTCCTCATGATCTTTACTTTGACCTTGAAACAAACAGTTAGTTTACAACTGAATTAATTTTGTATTTGTATTCATGATGTGTTTATTGTGAGTAAAAACAATAAACTCAATTTTAATATGTAATATAAATGATAACTCAAATATTCTTCTGCAGTAGAAAACTGCAGAAGACTGAAGAACTACCTTCATGGTGTCTTGGCCTCCTTGATTCTCAGCATAACATGTGTACTCTCCCTCTTCTCCCATCCCTACTGCTGGTACAAGTAACGTCCCATTGTCAAACACAGTTAGCCTCCGTGTTCTCCCTCCTCTGTCCTCCCCCTGCAACACACTGTTCACCATGGTTCCATCTGGTAGGCTCCAACGGACAGATGGGTCAGGCAGTCCTGATGCCTGGCAGTCCACCTGCATGGAACAGGATCATTATTATCATGAAAAGTTCTATCAACTTTAACTTAAATTTACTTTTGTTTGGAAGAGTGCCAAACTGCCGAGAGCTGTTAGGAAATAACAATGTCTCCACTTTGTTAAAAGGAAAGATGCATACTGCTCTAGATTCAGCTTTTAGGGCTGTTTTTATAATCCCAAAAATAGAACTAATTTAAGAAAACACTGCTAAGCAAGACAAATGAAGCTGCTTTAAAAAAAAAAGTTCAAATCTCATTAATTTTTAAATGAAATAAAAAAGGAGGGCAACAAATTCCCAAATACATTGTCCTCTTTCTTGCATTTCAACCCGCTTGACATTGTATTTCATTGAACTGTTGAATATTCATGTGTCAAATATCATCCCCTGAAGGCCGCTGTTGATGATTCATAACAGGCTATGACCTGACAGGTCTTTCTTTTCCTTTTTTAAGTCAAAAAACTATGATGCACTTTTTGAACAGAAAAAACAACTAAAGACACAGCTTGAAGCTGTATAAATGTTTGGCGCTAAGCCCAGCCATAAAAGAGATCCAACACACATCATGGACTGATCAAAAAGTCTCAAAAATATTCTAAAAGCTTAAAAGTGCAGGTGTGGAAGATGGACTGTTTTAGTTTAAGTTTTGGCAGCATTTGATGCAAGTCTCTAACAGTGGAACAGTGGTGTATGATGTTTCTTTAATAACTAGCCAGGCTGAGATCAATTGTGATTTATGAATTGTTTTCATTGAACTTACCTTCAGTGGTGTGCCAAAAGACACCATCTGATTGAGTGGTTGCTTGGGCTCGATCTTGGCAGGCTTAGTAACAACAGAGACACGCAGGCGGCGATAATCATCTGAGACCTTGTTTCGCGCGATACAGAGGTAGTCACCAGCATCCTTCTCTGTTAATGCTCGGATTGACAGAGTTCCATTAGGGTGCACCTTCAAACGATGGTCAAAACTGAAAATCGAATGTGGACAAACATACAAAAAAATCACCAACAGGTATAGAATGAGACACAATAGTGACAGAATTACTACGAGATATAATAAAACAACCGTCTCATAAACCCACATCCACTTTACCTGTAATGCACGTCCACCAGTTTGCTAATAGGGGTCCTCCAAATGATGATAGGTGCTGGGTTTCCAGTTACAGAGCAGTGGAGCTGCAAGAATAACCCATAGTGGACAGTGGAGCTGGAGGGTGATGTAGAGACAATAAGGGCTTTACTGAAGGGTGAGACAGGCGAGGGATGCAAAGCAGCTGATGCTGTATATTTTTTCGAAGGGGGAGGAGAAATAACTTTTGTGTTATTTACAATGCCAGGCGAGACTTTGGTGTTATTTGTAGGTATTGTGGAGGATGGGGAGAGAGGGGAGAGCTTTGTTTTGTTGATGTTGCTCAAGTGTGTGGGGTAGGCAGTGACTGTTTTATGGATTTTAGGAAGTGAGTTAGTGGCAGTGGGTGGGCGAGGGTAAAAAGATGAGCGAGAAGAACTGGGGTTGAGCGGCAAGGTCCGGGATCTATCATGGGGCGATGAAGCGGGGAGTCTAGCTGAGTTGAATGGATTTGAAGGGTGGCTAGGGATAGATAAAGTTCTGTCTTTATTTAGTGAAGAAGATGTTTTTTCAACTACTTTCGTTCCCTCATGTCTTGCTTCACTCTGGCTTCTTTCTCCTTCTGCTGACCCTTCAATTTCTAACCTAACTGTTCTCTTATCGGTTCCCACAGCATTGCTTGCTATGCACTCGTAATTCCCTGAGTCCTTAGGCCGAACTCCTCGAATATGCAGTGTCCCATTGGGTAAGACAAAAAGGTTGCCATGAAGAAACTGGGATTGGCGGACTATAGTCCCATCTGGAATTCGCCAGCGCAGAGTTGGTGTCGGGGCTCCCCTAGCAGAGCAGTGAGCATAAACAGGCCTCCCAGGAGACAAAAGCAGGTGCTCCTCTTTGGCTTGCTGTATAACAGGGGGCAAGGAGGACACATGTACACGCGCTGAGGCACTGGCTGTTCCTGCTGAGTTGGAAGCCACACAGCGGTACACACCTCTGTCACCGGTTAAAGTTACTGGTATATGGAGGGTACCATTCGTGTCCATAATAATCCGACTGGTGGAGGCAGCGCTGGAGGTCAGGACAGAGCGATCAGGCAAAACCCAGGAGAGCAGAGGGCTGGGAACACCATCCGCCTGGCACTGCAAGTGCACCTCTCCACCCTGATGAATGGTAACTTCTCTGTAGCTGGCCAGCTGCATTCGAGGGGGGCGTGTCCACACCTCCAGGTTGGCTAGCAATCTATCACGAAAGAGTATAGGACGCAAATAGTCAACATGGAAACACATTTGTATTTATTCTAAATGAAACTGAACATAGATGGCATAGGGCACGTTTAGGAAACTTCCCAAATTAATGTATTCACAATTTAAACAGGAATCCGGAAAGAGACATGGGATTGACAAACATATTTTTTAAGTAACACAATTATATTGGATATGGATTAGAACAAACCTTTTATAAATAGATTATATATACTGAGATTTCGAAATGACTTTAGGCTGCTTAAAAATACACCAACACAGCATGCATAATCCTAAACAGCTGTTTGCCTTTGGTCTGTGTAATTAATACAGAAAGTATTTGGTACCATGGTCATTATAACTAAATGCAAAATGCTACATTAATATTCCTAACTGGTACGAGCAGCCTCACCTGTCGCGACCCAGAAAGCTCTGTGCACTGCAGATGTATGTGCCTCTGTCCTGCAGCTGAATATTCTGGATAACTAGAGTGCCATTTGGCAGGACCTCAAAACGCTCTGCCCTGGAGAGAATTGACATCACCGCTCCTGAAACAGACAGACAGACAGACAGACAGACAGACAGACAGACAGACAGACAGCAGCGATGAAACAGAGAGGGAAAAACAGAGACAAATTGGGAAAGAAAGTTAGAATGAGACAGAGGAAAGGAGGATCAGAGAAATACTTTGTAGCACAGCATGAAGTAAGCCCAGTGATGCAGTGCACAAATGTTCCATTACTTTCTTGCAATATGTCTTTCCCACATGGCAAGCAAGAGAAAAGCCTATTGTGTACATGCCAGTGCGTAATGCTGGGTGTTAATGGGTTACTTCATCAGTGCAAAATGTGTTCATATTCATTAAGTTAAAGTACATACTAAAGCTTAGTTGGTTTTTCCTTTCGAATCGATGACGTCAAGAGGTAAATACAAACCTTTCCTTATTTCTGCTTTAAAGGAACAGTGTGTAGTACTTCTGATAAGAAAATAGCATTTCTATGTTTCCCAGCATACAAATATATGCCTGAGGGTTTAAGAGAGCGGATTTACTGAGTAATCTGTGGAAATAAAAATGAACCCTGATTTGTACTTTCATATCTACAAGGGAATTGTTTTTAATATTTACATATTTCTGCATACTGAAATAAATGTGTGCATATTGTCTGCTCAGCGTCTACCTGTGGAGACCTTGGTCCATGTGATGGAGGGCTTTGGCTCGCCCTGAGCTTCACAAGCCAGCCTGGCTGTGCTCTCTGCTGGGACCGACTCTGTCCTGATGTGCGGGTCTGCAATCCTAGGTTTGGATCTCACAACTGGGACCTATGTAAACGTTTTATAGATTTAAGTAAACAAAAAAGAAAATCATGATAATAATATATATTTATTTTTAACTTTAAGACATCTGAGAGCATAGCACCACTAATGAAAATCCCTTGAATTGCAAAGCTGCAGCATTGTGTTGGCCTTGGTGTTGTGAACAACACCTTCAGAAAAGCAATAGATAAAATGATAATTGTCTAATAGGAAAATCAGAACTAACCAAAATGATAGACAAATCAAAACATAAGTGTGGGTAAGAATAAAGGCCATTACACATGTTTTAATTATGTATGGTTTTAATGTATTTAAAAAGTAATATGATTATGTGAATTTAAAATTTTAAAAAGTTTGTAATTCCTTTTATTAAACATTGAAGAGCTTTTAAGGTTAAAAAATTCAATATATAGCAGTACTGTAATACCAGATTAGGAACCATTGATGGTGAACCCAGTGGTTTTGTCTGCTGAAGCCTGCCAAAAGAGCTCTGGAAATTAATTAACAATTGATTATCTTAAATCCCTTGGGATTAGGGTCTTAAGACGCATAATGTTGTTGATTATGGAACATGTGTTTTTCATCACTTCTTTAGATCTTGCAGGGACTCTAGCAGAGCTCCGGAAAATCCATGAAATTAAAGAACTGTCCTAAACATCCCTTAGGTTTTATAGCAGGTCATGTGGATACAGATTAGACTATTTTCAGATCTATTGTGCTTTTCTGCTAAGCTTTTGCCCAAAGGCTTGCACAGTCGGTGTAGCGTGTGTGTGTGTGTTTCATGTGTGTGTACATGCTTATGTGTGTTATTATTTTCTGGGCTAGCCCTCACTTAAAAAATAAATGTTAATTTGAGTTCCACTTAGCTGACAACAAAGAAAAATAGCTCTCTATATATATATCAAATGTAGACTGCATTTAAGAATGCACTTACAGAGATGACTAATTGTATAAATGATTGAAAGCAAAGAGCAGGGAAATAGGGGGAAATGACAGACATTAACAAATAAAAAGCAAATAGCATTACTGTTGACTCAATTTGAACTCACCCCAGGGGCAGCCGGGAGTGAAGGGGAGGGGGGCCATTGAGGCCGGCTGCTGTCTGAATCTGGAATAGAATTAGTTCCAGGGTTCCTCCAGTCAATAGTGGGTCGATTCTGGTTTGAACCCCCAGAATTAGGCCTCCCTCTGGGATCAACGTTGACAATGCTTGGCCTCTCTCTGGGTGATTGTGTTGTACTTGTTGTGATCATTGTAGTCGTTGTAGTTGAAGTTTACTGGGTGTAGCTGCCGTTGTAGTTGTTGAAGGAGGTTTCACGGAGGTGACATTTCTAGTACTAGTAGGAGTAGTAGTTGTAGCAGTGGTAGTAGGATGAGAGGTTGCGGGGATAGTCTTGAATGAGATTGTAGTACTAGCAGTATTAGCAGTAGTAGTAGTTATAGTTGTAATAGAAGGGCTAATAGTAGTGGTAGTTGGAAGAGTTGATGTAATGTCAGGTGTTTTGGAAGAAGTAGTAGAGGTAAAAGCAGTTGTAGTACTTCTGGTAGTGCTAGGTGTAGGGATAATACTGGTAGTTGTAGTAAACAATTTGGGACTTATAGTCAAAGCAATATTTGTTGTTCCCATGGGACGTTTGTCCTCAATAGCTGTAGTGGAAGATATATTATCAGGTGTTGTGGAAGAAGTAGTAGAGGTAAGAGCAGTTGTAGTACTTCTGGTAGTGCTAGGTGTAGGGATAATACTGGTAGTTGTAGTAAACATTTTGGGACTTATATTCAAAGCAATATGTGTTGTTCCTATGGGACGTGTGTCCTCATTAGCTGTAGTGGAAGATATACTTGTAACACTTTCAGCAGAATTAGTATGTATTATTTTGAGAAAGGTAAAAGGAGTAGTGTGGAGTTTTGCAGTAGTAGTTGTAGCTGTACTGGGGGACTGTGGAGGAAACAATGGAGGAAGGAGTGGACGAGAGAGAGATGGAGGAGTGGGACACATATGGTTCACTTGACAAATTCCTCTCGAGCACAACATTGGGATCACTTGAAGGTTCATCAACATGTTTGCCTAAAGATGTGTGTGTTTTTGTGACAGTCTGTATGCCATGTGTATAAGTCTTGGCGTGTGTGTTAGGCGAATGTGTCTGCACGACCGTAGCATCCGAGTGAGTGGGTGCTGGTGTTAGTGTGTTGAAGAGAGTGGATTTTGCAGTATCTGGGATGTTGGCTGGGTGAGTCACCATGTCTATATGTATCTTCGTGTGAGAGGGGGATAATGAGGTGTTAGAGGAGGAAGAGGGAGAAATGGAGATACCAACAGTATTAGAAATAGTGGAAGACTCAGAATTCAGTACCACATCATTTGAAGTAGTCTCAATATGGTCACTCCGTGTCAACAGCATGACTGGAGATGTGGTTGTTGACACCAGCATCAACATATTCATTTGATCTGTTGTAGTGACAGGTGTCTCAGTTTGTGACCTCGGGTTTGTAAGTTCAGGGATAGGTCGGCGTGGGGTCAAAGGACGCCCCCTGGGCCTGTTGATGATTCGTCTTCACTGTCCGATCCTCCTGCGAGAGTTCCAAGGGCTTTGAGGCCGGGAATTGGGTACCAAATTAGGGAAGAGTCCCTCCCGGGGGTTTTGAGGCTTGGTTCTAGATGGGTTGGTGTTTTCTTCTGGCTCATCCCCTTCACCTGGTTCTGGGACAATTTCATTTGCCGCTGACATTGGCTTCAATGTGACTGCTTCTTTCTGTGTCTCTGTGTTTGTCACTGACTCTGTCTGTGGAGTTGCTTTCTCTGCCTCGCTCTCCGTCTCGTTCTCTATATTTGTCTGTGTTTCTGTTGATTCTGTTGCGGTCTTTATCTCTGTGTCTGTCTTTATCTCTGTGTCCGTGTCTGTATTTATCTCTGTGTCTGTGTCTGTCTTTATCTCTGTGGCTGTGTCTGTCTTTATCTCTGTGTCAGTGTCTGTCTTTATCTCTGTGTCTGTGTCTGTGTCTGTCTTTATCTCTGTGTCTGTCTTTATCTCTGTGTCTGTGTCTGTCTTTATCTCTGTGTCTGTGTCTGTGTCTGTCTTTATCTCTGTGTCTGTGTATGTGTCTGTCTTTATCTCTGTGTTGTCTGTCTTTATCTCTGTGTCTGTGTCTGTGTCTGTCTTTATCTCTGTGGCTGTGTCTGTCTTTATCTCTGTGTCTGTGTCTGTCTTTATCTCTGTGTCTGTGTTTTCTTTCGTTGGTTATCTCTGTGTCTGTGTCTGTCTTTATCTCTGTGTCTGTGTCTGTGTCTGTCTTTTCTCTGTGTCTGTGTCTGTCTTTATCTCGTGTCTGTTTCTGTGTCTGTGTCTGTTTCTGTCTCTGGTGTCTGTCTTTATCTCTGTGTCTGTGTCTGTCTTTATCTCTGTGTATGTGTCTGTCTTTATCTCTGTGTCTGTCTTTATCTCTGTGTTGTGTCTGTCTTTATCTCTGTGTCTGTCTTTATCTCTGTGTCTGTGTCTGTCTTTATCTCTGTGTCTGTGTCTGTCTTTATCTCTGTGTCTGTCTTTATCTCTGTGTCTGTCTTTATCTCTGTGTCTGTGTCTGTCTTTATCTCTGTGTCTGTGTCTGTCTTTATCTCTGTGTCTGTGTCTGTGTCTGTCTTTATCTCTGTGTCTGTGTCTGTCTTTATCTCTGTGTCTGTCTTTATCTCTGTGTCTGTCTTTATCTCTGTGTCTGTGTCTGTGTCTGTCTTTATCTCTGTGTCTGTGTCTTCTTTCTCTGTGTTGTTTTTTGTCTGTGTTGTCTTTGTGTCTGTGTCTGTGTCTGTCTTTATCTCTGTGTCTGTGTCTGTCTTTATCTCTGTGTCTGTCTTTATCTCTGTGTCTGTGTCTGTCTTTATCTCTGTGTCTGTCTTTATCTCTGTGTCTGTGTCTGTCTTTATCTCTGTGTCTGTCTTTATCTCTGTGTCTGTGTCTGTCTATCTCTGTGTCTGTGTCTGTGTCTGTCTTTTCTCTGTGTCTGTCTTTCTCTGTGTCTGTGTCTGTCTTTATCTCTGTGTCTGTGTCTGTCTTTATCTCTGTGTCTGTCTTTATCTCTGTGTCAGTGTCTGTGTCTGTCTTTATCTCTGTGTATGTGTCTGTCTTTATCTCTGTGTCTGTGTCTGTGTCTGTCTTTATCTCTGTGTCTGTGTCTGTCTTTATCTCTGTGTCTGTCTTTATCTCTGTGTCTCTGTCTGTCTTTATCTCTGTGTCTGTGTCTGTGTCTGTCTTTATCTCTGTGTCTGTGTCAGTGTCTGTCTTTATGTCTGTGCCTGTTTCAGTGTCTGTATTTTTATCTGTGTGTGTTAGCATCTCTTTGTTGACAGGGTACATATGCTGAAGGCCTTCCTCTTGTAGATCAGTCTCATCAAGAGATGACCCTTCAGTTTCTGCTTCCTCCCCTGGTCCTTCAGATCTATCTCTCTCTGTATCATCAAGTCCGTCATTTCTACCTGTGTGTCCATCTTGGCCTCCTTCCACAGCTTCAGCTGTGGGCTTTGCTTCATCGACAGGCTCGCTTTCATTAGTGGCAACAGTCTTTTGTCGAATCTTAGCCAAGAGATCAGCCCATTTTTGAGGGTCTATCCTTTGTTTGTTTGTGGCAACCCTATGTCTGTTCTTAAAGCGGGTTCTTCTCTGGTCAGTGGATGATGTAGGCGTTCCTCCTCTCCTCAGGGCACCTTCTCTCATAGGTCCACGTCTTACGGGTTTTCCAATTGGAAGACGTCTGTTTGGGGAAGGTTGAAGAGGTCTTGGACGCTTCCTGCCAGCAATAATTCTCTCTCCTTCTTCCCTCACATCGCCAGACCCTTCTTCTTCTTGTAATGGAGCTCGTATCTTGGTTGACCGGCCAGCAGCTGACTGTGGCCCTGTGGGAAATGAAGTCCTAAGTGGAGGGGGATGTCTTGAATTTAATTCAAGCTGTATCGACAGAAAATCACTACCATACTGGTTGACTGCAATGCAGCGGTAATGACCAGCATCCCTCAGAGAAGGGTTAGGCAGAGAGAGACTCCCATTAGATTGTAAAATGAGCCCACCTGATACAGCTAATCCCTGCCGTACTAAGTTTCCATCTGGTAACACCCAATTTATATGAGGCGCTGGTGAACCAAAAGCCTTGCAAGATAGACTGATAGTTTTACCAACAGTTGCTGTGACAGGAGGTCCCACTTGCTCTCCTGAAGGGGGAAAAGAGGAATCCTCCACTGCCAGGCGCAGGGGGAGAACGTCTACATCCTTGCCTGCCCGTGCTATGCAGTAATAGATCCCTGCATCTGAGAGCTGCACTTTATGAATAAGTAAACCAGAGGTTGAAGCCTGGAGCCTACCATCTAAGCTGCTTGAGGGGGAGATCAGCTTGGATCCATCCGGTTGAACCCACTGTACTTTGGGGTTACCAGAACTTAAAAGAGGGCATGATAGCTCCACCTTACTACCTACTACTGTTGCAAGTTCGGTGGCGGTCTGATTAGTTGAAATCAGCACCCATGGGGGTGAGGAAGGGGAGGATGCTGAGAGATGAGAAGCAGGGTCGGGATGAGCAGAAACTCTTGTTGAGTAGATAAGTTGAACTTTATGTCTGTTAGACTGTGCTCTGTTTAGCTGAATGCCGATGGCTGGCTGTAGTAACCATTGTGGTCTGGCTTCAACGGAAGATTGGACTCCAGTGTGATAATATCCTTCTGTCTCTGGTGCCTGCCTGTAGCGGTAAGCCAATGCTGGGGTTTTACTCAGCATGATGTGCCTCTCCAGACGAACCGCAGTCTCACTGTAGTACGCTAGGATCCTCCAAAGTGTCTCATAGCTCTGTCTCTCCACGGGGCATTCCAGGGAGAGTGAGAGAGCGAGGGGGAGAGGGGAAGAGGAGGAAAGAGAGAGATCTGGAGGTGGAGCAATATCCTGGGAATCAGAGTGAGTGAAGTTGCAAACCAGATCCACGCTGTTCCCTTGTTGATCAGACAGACCCAGAGAGGCAGTGCCTAAAGGTTCTCTAAAGGATTCACTGGTTTGGATTTCACTATGTTCGGTCTCCAAAGGTGTGTCTCTTCCTGGGGAGGCGATAACAGGCGAGCTGCACAAGGGGTCAGTCTGCTCAAGCAAGCCTTGACCTTGAAGGGAATCGGGCGAGGCACAGATTGGACACTGAGGGCCGCCGGGACATTTCATTAAGCCTAATTGAAAGAGAGGCAGAGAAAATTGTGTCATAAAAGACAGCCTTGGCATCTCTATCAACTGTGTATAAAAGCATAGCAACTAAACAAACATATCAGTGCACAACTCAGCTATCTGAACATATTAGCAGTGTCATATTTTAGTCATGCCAGCTCATCTTAAGAATATATTAACCTTTATATGTCTTAATAATTCTGCATGGTTACTTCATCTACTCATAAATCAGGAAAATGCATCACTTTATTATTACACAATAATTAGCCTATATTTCAGCTGCCTTCACATATCAATGCTGTCATCATAGATTAGTCATAGCAGGTTAAGTCTGGCATATCAATGAGACACATTTCATGGTCCAGCTCTCATTCACGTCTCAATAACAGCCACAAGGAACACTGGAAGAGATACAGAAAATTGAGGAAATAGGAGAAGGGGGTGTAACATAAAGCAGGTGGACGGATGTCAGAGGAATAGACTAAACAAAACCATATGTGTAGGAAAATACATTTATCGCATTATTCTATCAACTGGCTTGATTTGATATGCTACATTACAGCTGTATAATGTTTTTCTCTCAATCCATTCACCTTCTTACTACCTTACCTAGTTACCTCGTCATTCTAGCTATATGCATTTTGCAATAACCATCACATTTCGACTCCTTGACTGAGTTAAACCGGCTCAGAGGCTTAAGAAATGACATATCAGATCATCACCTGGATGTGCCAGACTCCAAGTGAGAAACCAGTTCATCCTACAGTCACAACTCCAAGGGTTAGCCTGCAGCACAAGAGTCTCTAGCAGAGGTGCTGTTGCTAATGTGTCTCTGGGCAGAGTTGTTAGACTGTTGTTGGACAAGTCTAGGTGTCTACAGATGGGGAAAACAAAAACAAAATAAAACATTAAGTGGAGAGGGATGGTGGAGAACAAGGTTGAGTCCAAATCATGGAGGAAGGGATGAAAGAGTGTGAGTGGGCAGTGAGAGATGAAAGGTTAGGGGAAAATAACTAATAATTGTTATCCTTTCAATCATCATCCTCATGTTCAGATCCTGGTTATTCCTCTGCAGTAGTAATACAATTAGGAGTAGGTTTTAGAAGTGTATTTGTCGAGGTAAAAATGACCAGCAAGAGTTGCTTTTTCATCGGATGAGTTTTTCTTTTGACTAGTCAATCATGTATCCCATTATCACTAAATCTCACTGATCACGCCATTTTAACTAAATGTAACTAATACTTTGTCACAAGTCATCATAGTGCAAATGTTTTGTTAGAATTGTGATAGTCAAGAACACACAGATCAGTTTATGTAGTAGGTCATGGAAGTATTGTAATTAATGTGGTAATAACAAACTTACCAGAGAACAGAGAGCACTCTTCTTTTGCTTTTATGTGTTGTGTTGTGTTGTGTTGTTAAAAGTGTTATCATGTTGTAACATGCCAAACAATTACTATAACATTATGTGCTATACTGTAAGTGCTCAAGCTCACCTGAGTGTAGAGAAGTAATATGTATTCAGGAGGGACAGTGTGCACAGAGTGCGAGGGTGCAGTTGATGCAGCCTGTTCCCTTGTAGACGCAGCAGCCTGAGGCTCGGCAGCTGGAGCAGCGCCCGGGGGTGGATGTGCTGGAGGCGGTTGTGATCCAAGTACAGACGCAGCAGGGAGGTCAGGCCAGAGAAGGTTAGAGATGAAGAGATCTCTCTAAGCTTGTTATAACTCAGCTTTAGTATCTGCAGGGGGAGGGAGAGGAAATTGAGTGAACGGAAGCAATGAAGGATTAGAAGAGCAATCAAAAATGGGGCATCAAAGCTGATGAAGAAACCAAGTCTATGCACTGATCATAAGTCTTTCACTGGACACCACATGCTTGTAAATTGAATTTATGACAAATTATGCAAGCGGAATTGGAATGAGGATGAAGGAGTCGGTGAAAAACTCTTTGTAAGCAAAAATAAATGCAAACTGTGTTGTTTTTAGAAATATGGGGGAATACTTCCAGTAGCACAACAAATGCTGCAAGTTTATCGATTCAAAGCAGAAAAGACTTAAAGCATATTCTAACACTGGGGGCCTTCAACGTTTCAAATAGGAAATGTATCCTGTAAGCTCAAGACTCTGGGGAACTATTATTATTCTAGTCATGTGCAAAAAACCCACCAACCTTTACAGACACACACCATGAAAACCATGTTGTGGAATTGTGTTTCTGTGAAGCTTGTGATAAATCCGCTCTGCAGGAAGGCTACTTAGCTGGCAGAGTTCCAGCTACTGACAGATCTAGCACGTGAAGATGTCAGCACATGGAAATATGGATCTTATTATCACACAATGCCAAATATATCAGCATCTGCCTGGGAGATGAAGGGAACAATTGCTTGTTGAGTAATTTGACTTCCCCACGGACTGCTAACTCTGCCCTTAGGTTCCTGCTAAAATGTCCAGTGTGTTTCCTGTCACTGAGCAGCAAAAAGAATGATAGCAAATAAATTATGCATTCGTTGTACAGAAATTAGAAATATGTGCTGACAAATTTGAACAGAATCATGTTAACTATTACATTCATTTCCATAATGGTTTCACAGATTAAATGTAAAATTAATCATTTTATAATCATTTGTTGCCATCAGTTTGACTGCTAGATTTAGGCATATTTATTAATATAGATTCCTCTCTAAATTGTACCAAACTCTTTGACAAATGCTGTATATGTTGATAATCTCTGCATTACTTATGTTGTTAAAAACTGAAATGGGTTCTGTCAAACAGTTTAAGTATATACATGTATCATACTTAAAGAGGTTATGCAGACTATAAACTATACTAAAGAAATGTGAGAGCTGAGTTTTCTGAAACAAAATACATTTGAAATTGTGAAGGATCCTTGTGGTACCCCTGCTTGAGGCTGGGATTAAGGATTAGGCTGTGAGACTGGGTCCAAGTTTGATACTCATATCTGTATCCTGAAAAATACTTCATATCCAAAGAGTCAAAGGCTAAATATTTGAGACAATGATTTATTTTTCCCATTAACATCCATACACTTTATAATCCAGCATGCACAGTTTCTCTTGGAAAAGGATCGTTCAGGACACTCAATAATGTTGGTTGCTGTTAGCTGCCTGTATGAGATACAGGCGCTGTAGTTCCATAAAGAAAATTGACAAAACATAAAGAAAAGGGCTCTGAAGAATACATCCCATTTGTTTAAAACGTTTGCTATCTTTAATTTAGTCAATTATCCCCATCCAAAAATCTTCTAGTTTGTTTTTGAATTGATTTCCCTCTCTTTTCAGCCTTAAACAATGTCAATGTTGGGTCCAATGCATGCTACTCTTCTTCCTATTTACCTGTAGCGATTTCAAATCTCTGAATGCTTCATCTGGCAGATGGTGGAGGTCATTGCTGTGGAGCATCAGGAGCTCCACCTTCTTTAGCCCAGCCAAAGAACTGTCATGTATTGTGCTGATGCTGTTGAATCTGTGGCACAGAAACAGCATGATCTACCTTAGACGTCAATACATCAACAAATATTATATCTCTAGAGCTCGTTAATTTGCTGCAATTTGACACATTCCAAACTCTATGGGTGTGTTTGATGGTAAATAAGAGCAGTCCTACTTGCTCACTTGCATTCCCTTACCCAAAGTTTATGCGGCGTGTGTGTATAGGGAGGCCAGAAGGTATGCTGAGCAGGGAACGAAATGTACAGTGGACTTCATTGGCCTGGTAGCAGTTACAGCTCCTGGGGCAGGCCTGGCCCATGGGCACCACAAGTGTCAGTACCAGTAGAGTCAGCAGGGGAACCGACACACACACACCCCGATACATCTTCAGTCCCCGAGAGGAGAAGCCACACTGGGATTATCACTGCCAACAAGAAAAAAGGAAATCAAGACTGATGGAGGGTAGCAAAGTGCATCACAGTGACATGTGTCAAAATCCAGATGACAGCCTGTCTCTCTCTCTCTCTCTCTCTCTCTCTCTCTCTCTCTCACACACACACACACACACACACACACACACACACACACACACACACACACACACACAGAGAGAAATGTATTCATACATCCCAAAAAGCACACATTTTACTCAAGGGGATTTGCAATCTGTACAACACATGACACTTATACCCTAAAATCCACACTAGAGCCACACTGACACATTGCAATTAACAAAACAGACCTTCGGGCTTTATGCACATGCCCAGTAGGTTAATTGAGTGACATACATTAAGCAAAACAAAAAGAGCAGGATTGAGAAATATAGTAAGAAAAAGATAACACGTCAGTTTAGACCTCACAGAAAAGATCCTGTTTCTCTCTCCTATTTAATCTCACGCAAGCGCACAAATGCTCTTACCGTTCAAATGTATCAAACCAACTGTAGAGCAATAGCTACCAGCTTTTTAAATATGAAGCTGAAAAGTAAAGTAAATCACGCACTCTAGCAAGAAGCATCCGAGATTAATTCAATACTGTAATGCAAAGTCGTGGATGTGCAGAGCATACCTTGAAATCCTGTGGAGTTATTTCACGGAGGTATTCATTTTGCCCATCAAACACTGATTTAATCCAACTGCACGGCTCGGAATTTTGAAAGGCAATTAACCAGTTTATTCACCAATAAACTCCGCGATTGTTGAACTGAGGTGGAGGTCCCAAAATAAGTTGTCACATAAGATGTAACTGAGGAGAGCGAGAAAAAAAATTAGTCACACTTTTGTCAACTCCGCACAACAACAAAATGATTTTAGTTAGATCCAACAGGTCTTGCGCGTCTCTTGAGAAGTAACACTGGAAGTGGCAGGCGGGCTATATGCAGTCTGGCGCTGTGTGAGTGTGCGCGTGTGCGTTTGTGTGGATGACAGGGGATGTGTTAGTGTGTATTTGAGCGGAGGAAAAGGGACTGTACCGAAGTGAACTTTGAGTGACGCTCAGGCTGAGGGGTTTGTCCGAGGAGGGGCTTTCTTGAGACACAGAGGTAACAAGTTACTGCTGCAGGCTGCACTCCTCAAATATTTTACTCTATAGACACAGACATCTTTCTGTTGAACTGCAACTCACTGGATGTTTTCTTTCTCAACTGTTGCACACCACATTGTAACTTCTCTGCTCACACTATCTCCATATTTTGCAAACAACTTAATCCATTTTCCCTCATTTGAATTAATTTAATTTAATATACCTGAATTAGAAACAGCCATTCTGAAGATGTTTTATTTAAAAGGAAACCCACATCAGATTCAGCCTCATGGCCTCAGATTTGTAAAACTCTTCAAAATCACAAACATGACACAAGACTCCTGTTTGTCCAAATGGTATCTAAATTGTTACATGGCTAAGTGTTCATACATGTTTTTGTTTGAAACATCGACCCAAGCAAATGTTTCTTTTTCTATTTACAAGGTTTGGGCCAAGGACCAAGTGTTTGGGTTGTCAGCGAGTATATCTCAATGTTCTGCCAATTGGGCTTCATTCAGGGAAAGTGGGACAATAGCGCCTAGGCATTTGTCTTGATACATGTGTGTGAGGTCAACTAAATAAGGGATTGTCTCCTCTTTTATCTTATCTCAGATTCTCAGGCACCCCGAGCTGATCGCACCTCCTTCTGAGGGGACTTAAATGAAGGCAGGGTGAGAAAAAATAGACTTATGCTCCTCAGCTGTTGTCTCTTATAAGCACAGTAAACCCACCCACTGTCCATTAAAGGCCTGCGTGTTTATGTGTGCCCCCTTGTAATGCACCTAGCTCCTGGTCTCTTCTTCTGCTGCACATATTTTACTACAGAAAAGACTGTGTGTTTGTCTGTGTGTGTGTGTGTGTGTGTGTGCGTGTGTGTGTGTGTGTGCGTGCGCGCGCGTGTGTGCGCGTGCGCGGCGTGCGTGCGTGTGTGTGTGTGTGTGTGAAAAGTCAGTGGCCTTCTGCATGGTTTGTTTGGATATACGTTTTCATCATCCACTTTAACTTTCAATCTCAGTTTTGTTCACAAATGGGGCGCAAGGGCTAGATATGAGCAGCGGACGTGAGAATAGGGTCACCACTGACTTCTCACATCAGCCGATAATGGTATATGAATAATAGATTCTAAAAATGAATTTTGAATGACTGTTTATCCCCCAAGCTTGAAAGCCGATAAGTGAACCTCCCAAATATCTTTCAAAGATGCCACTTGATTCATCAGCAAATTCCTCTCGCATGATTTTCAGAAGATGACCCAATCTCCACCAAGATATAACCCTTGTCACTGCAGGCGATCTCATTGTGTTGAGGCTTAACAGTTCCCCTGCTGCACTGATTCCCTGTATCTGATAGGCTCTGAAAAGCATTAGGCCCTATCCTAACTCTCTTCATTACAATATTCATCACTGTACTGGAATGTAATGCGCCATAATAAATGAATCAGTGTCTGTCTGACTGGAAGGAAAGAAAAAATGAAGACATAATGTAATATCAATGACACTTTGAGGAAGGTGAATGACTGAATTAAAGAATGAAGGGAGACAGGGAGAAAGGAAAGGGAATAAAATGCATTACTTGGGCATTTGGTACTCTCCTGGTATAACATTGCCTCATGTGTTAGTCCTGAGCTTATTATTACTGCATGTTTTTGAATTATGCCATGACAAACCACTTAAAATAATAACTCTTAAAATCAATTGATCAATCAATCAATGAGCAAATGGCCTCTACTTACTCATTACTTATACAACCTACAATAAGTAAAGTGGTAGTCTGGCTTTCTATGCCTGTCGGCCGTCCTCTCCCACTGAGACTTTAAAAAGATCCGCTGGTCATCAGTGCTCTCTATCTTTGTTTCTCTGGGGTTCGGCGCTATCTAGGTCAACCAATGGAGTGCTGAGTCATGAGTTCAGGAAGTAAACAACTAAGTAGACCAGCTTGCTGATACATAATTTAATTTGGCTTTGATGTGTGAATAAACTCTTTCTCTCAAGTTCTGAAGAAATGGTTGCATTCTATTCAATTATATAAGTTTTTACCATTATCTGAAATTGACTTGTAATTTTTCTAGTTACAGTACATTTTGTTTTTGTTCTAACTTTAGTCAGAAAATCTGAGAGGGATATAAATTAGTGGAGGGAGACCATTCAAGGTACAAAGGTGTTTTTAAAGAGGGGCTACTTATTCGTACTAAAAATAAGTCTGCTAGTCCCCGTCAAGGTTAATTCAAAAAAATTGAAGACAGGGATAAAGAGTTCAGAAGGAAACCAAGAGCTATCCTCAGAAAAACCAAGACTTTCAATTACGTACTTCATGACCTCATGGAACCAGTTGAGGCTGCAGGCTCATAAAATGCTGGTTTATCGTAAAAACAGATTGTCCAACGCAGACTTCTTAAAATCAGCTTTCTTGAATGTTTCCTGAATTGAATTAATACTTTTATTACTAGTGTAAATGCAAGATCAAATGTGCTTATTGCCTTAGTTGCATGGCACGCAAAACTATATTTAAACACATACTAGAACTCTTGGTTGTGGTATTGATTATTTTTGTCCTGTCTTTTATGTTTTTAATTCAAGTAGATAGGAATATACATTAATTAACATAAAGCCACCTTATCTAAGTCTTGCGATACGAAATCAGATGGACATACAGTATGTAAAGGGACTTACAACTTGGGGAAGTATTTAAAAAAGCAACAGTGGCTACCAACATGTTTTCTTTATTAACATGTAACCTGAAATCTTAATCTCTCCCTACACACTGTATATTATCTGACAACAATTATGCTCAAATTATTAGATTTAAAGGCTCATTATTGCACACATAAACTCATGACCCCATACTTTCCTATAGTTTGACTTTGAAGAAGACGTGCTCTCTCAGCCTGGGGCCCCGGACGAGGACATTTGTGTCTATTATTGATCCGAGGCTCCAGCTCTCCATGAGGTCAAGGCCTGCCTGGACAGATGACAGCCCGGGGCTCAGCAGCTCAGTGGGCGGCCATGGCAGCGATCCACGGGGCTGATGGTTGGATGGTCACAAGGATATTCTTTACTTTGTGTAAGCTTTGCGTTTAGTTGGAATCTAAGTTATTTGAGATGGAGGATTGTGAGAGGGTAATGTATTATATCTGAATTGTAGCAGTTATGCTAAGCAAACAAACCTTCATTTGGGCCTTACTACCTTGTTCTGTGACAATTAAATGATAAGATATTTAATTACATTTTTAGCTTGTAAGTTAATTTTAAGATGATTTTAGTGGCTATAATGAGAGAGCATGATTGTAAAAATATGTGAGTAAGAAGAAAAACGGTGGATGATTCCCAATAGCCAATAAGAGTCAGTTTGTCAATACCCAATGAGAGTCAGTTTTCATTCAAGTCATTCTCAAACAAGGTTTTGATGGCACTGGAAAACAGGGTGGAGTCCTGATGCAGACACTAAAGGAGATTCATCTGTTGTCAGTCGTCTTGGGGTTACCTTGGGGAATCTTTGGTGAAAAATTCAAGGGGAAAACAACAATGAGTTTTGATTTTGAAAAATGTGTACTATGTGATGGTACTGGCCCTATAATGAGGATTATTTTATGAGGTTCAATAGTTGATTTACGTTTGTAAAAAGGTAACAATCACCGGTTGGGTTCTCTCTGTACTACAGTGTGCCAAACCAAACCTCTTTATATTGTAAATGATGCTGCTATGAACCAAATAATATCAAGATAGCAATATAAAGATAATCTATTTCAGCAGTAACACATTCAAATGGAAATAAACTTAAAATGTTTTAATCACGTTGTTTTATGTTTATCCTGGTGGATTGAAAGGAATATTTCGATATAGTTGACAAAATAGCTTCACATTAACATTGTAGGCTCATGTAGAAGCTGGTTAGGAAGTGGAACACAGCAGGTGATTTTATTTTTATGGAGAAATTGACCATTTTATTACATTCCACTAAAAAGGTTGTGTTATTACGCAACACATAACGCATTAAACAATCATTATAAGCTAGTGGTTGAGCAGTTACTAAGAACATGTTAAAGCCAAAAAATACAAACTAAACATCATACAGAAGTGTCATTTAGCATGAGTCTGGATCTCTACCAGAGTTTTAGTATCTGTAAGACTTACGGCGAGAGTTATCTACTAAGGTGTTCAGCAATAATTCATGTAATAATCTCTAGAGGTTATGACAGCAGTTAAAATTGCATCTGGAGGCTTGAAAGAAGGGGATTCACTAATGAGATGCACAGATAGCCACAAACCCCTGTTGTGTTTTTCTTTAATGATACACAGAGCCTGTGTGAGTAAATTCCACACATGGAGAGCACAGAGAGCCCCTGAGTTGTTGTTGACCCTCAGGCTAGAGGAGAGATGAGGAAAAAGATTGAGCAGTTAAAGAAAAATGGAGTGGAGAAGGTTAAAGGGGGTCCATCAGTGAGCTGGAGGTCTATTATCTGCAGATGTAGCCATTATATTATCACCACAAGGCAACAGTCAATTGCTGCTGCAATACTATTTAACCCATAGGAAGAATTATTTAAACAATATTTTTAACAAAGGAAAACATCAGAAGATATCTGGCAACCAGTTGTTTTCAGTTTTTTGTTTCACTGATTCTATTCAGATGTAACATAAACATACATACTAAAAGGGTTAGGAACAATATTTCTCATGGGAGCAACCATACTGAA